CTCTGTTATAGCTATGTGGCAATCAAAATTAAGTCTTGGCTATTTTTTCTTTACCAGCTTCAGAATGTGGCCAGTTCAGACAAGCTCACGAAAGAAATGACTCAACTTTCAAATATCTGGAAAATACTTGGAATGAGTCTTTGTATTTAACTTTTTTAAGAAAGTAGGCGATCCACTGTCCTATTTTTGGAATGTGGCTCATTGAAGCAGTCTGGGTTACCAAGTCATTCCACATTTTTATTAAGAAAAGGGAGAACTTAGTAACATCCTGCAAATTACCCGGCAGCTGATTTCTGTCGTGATGAGAAACACACGCCAGGTCTAAAGTTAGAAGAGGAGACTTGGCTTAAGAAGGAAGTAGATTTTTTTACCTGTGCAAATGTAACATAAAAGATTAACTTGATAAATGTTCAACATGATTCAAGACTTGAATTTACACCATTTTTCAGTTTTTTCCAGAGCTAACGCGCCATTGGCCTGAGCCATGACCACACAAAATAAATGTTACAGAAGAGTGATTTGAATAAATCACACTGTGGTTGAATCTCAATTAGTAAATGCACATAAATACACTCGCAGACAGTTATATAGATGAGTGTGAGTCAGAAATCTTGAGGTCTGAGTGCATACAGAAAGGGCTGGGCTGTCACACAGTTTGAAGACAGACTTCATAAGTCACCTTTCTTTAGCAGCATGGTTCTAACAACAGAATCTGTTGAGTAACCGAGGCCAGTCAAGCCAAAATCCCCTCAAACCCACAGTCCCCTCCCTGACTCCCCCACACCCGAGCCCCCAGCTGACAGCTCCCGTCCCCATCCTGTCTGGGCCCACATGGCCTGGCTCTGGATGGGAGACATCTCCGCACAATTCTCATTGCCCTCCTCCTCCTTTTTTCTCTCCACGCTTTAGCCCAGCTATGCGAATGCAGCCCGTGTTTTACGCTTTTCCTGTCACTTCTCTGGCCAAAAAATGAAAAGGAATGATGGAAAAAAAGAAAAGAACTGGTTAAGTGAGAATGAGAGAGAGAGAAAGAGATTGAGTGTCCATTTCTGGCATGGGTTTTGCTGTCTGCTCAGTTTTCACGGCCCGTGGTTTTATTAGACTTTCCGCCGGGCCGCGGGCAAGGTTAAACGGCCACCGCTGCCCCGTTTGGGCTCGAAACCTCCTCTTAGCCCCCTCCGGCTCCCCTTGCCTGCCTCCACCCCTCCCCCTGGCTGTCCTGCGGTGCTGCTGCCAGTAAAGGAAACACATTAACACCCGGGCCAGTAACAGAGCAGGCTTTGTCCACAGCCAGGCAGGCCGGTCCATTAGGCCCACGCTCTGGTCCACACCACACCAATTAGAGCAGGCAGGGAGCAGAGCCACTCCAAACAGAGGTGTGAGCTTTACAAGGAGACTACAGGTGTGCTTGGGGGGAAATAATGGACTTTATTACTGATTGGGTGTACTGTGCTACACTGTATCCCTCTGCCACCTTTTTAAGAGCCAACACGGCGCTGCAGAGTTTTGACAACCTGTGTTTAACCTGCAAACTTGAGTTTCCCTTGGATCTTGGATCAAATCAAGCCCTTGCTTTCCAATTTACTGTAGTTACCAATCCGGGCTCTTGTTACATTGCCTCACCCCACTGGGTCCTAATATACAAAATACCGCACAGAGCTACAACTTATGAAAAGGTAATTATTCATGTACTCTATTGATTATTTTTTGATAAAAATTTGTAACTACAAATGTTAAAATCAAAAATGGAAGTTGACCCTCACAAGTTTCAGTGACATGAATTGGCATGCTTATCAGATCAACAGTTGAAAACGCCTAAATCTTTAATTTACAATGACATAGAATAGAAAAGCACATGGAAACAATAGGAACAAAAACAGTATTAAACAAAAATTTGAGTGTGTGCAAATTGTGCACACATTGCAGCCTTTAAGATGCATAAGTATTTCAAAGCACTAATGTTATGCATTTAGAGGTGGTGACATTTTGATATTTTTGCAATGTAAGTTTCTTGCCTTTTATTGTATTTTTTGTTAGCCTTGTTGACAGACAGCTGGCAAGCCGTGTTAACATTCGGAAACATAGTGCCCACTGCCCACCCATCGGTCTTTACTGGTTAGCTAACATTAGCCTTTGCTGCTTTGCACTGTGCGCCACCCAGGTCGAGTGGGAGCTAGCTAGCAGCTCCTCTCATTCACAATTACTGCTGGTAACGCTGTCTCAGTGGTGGGACAACGTTGCTGCCTAAACATGGTGGCCACCCTTTGGTCTCCGCTAGGTAACTCCGCTATTTAAGCAGCTTAATTTTGAGATGCAAAACCACTTTAGCATTGTTAACTATGTTAGCACCACTAGTCGTGCTGAAACTGCTAACGGTGATAAAAGCGATAACATAGTTATCAATGCTTAAGGGGAATTGCAGCTCAATGCTTCTTTTTCACTGGAGCGACCTTGGGGAGGAGACCAGAGGGTGGAAACACTGTGGCCACAGCAACGCTGTTTGGTCGGGACAGCATTGGGACAGAAGAGCGGAAGAGCCCTGGTTTCCGGTGCTAGGCTGTTTGTAGTCCACATGATATTGATCAATCACGTTTGAGCCGGCTGCAGTTGTTGCCAGGTTAAACGCTCCGTGCGGTGAACTAACGAGGTGGAACATAATTGGCGTCATTGCAAACTCTGAATCCATCGCGATGTTTCAGCATATTTACTTATATATAAACGGAAGTTGGAAACGGAAATTCGCCTTCTCCGCCCAAATCAAACCAGAATGCCAAAAAATTGGGGGTCTGCCCCCAGAGGCTGTATCGCCGTCTGCTGGAAGTCAGACACCGAATGGGTTCTGATGGGTTCCGAGAATGGATGCCCTCAGATTAGTAACACAGGCTCTCTATTATAAAGGCCCAGCTAAGTTAACCCTGGTGACATCACAAGAGGTTGTTTTCTCAGACTTGAGAAAGTTCCTTCTGGAGCCACAGAAAACATTATACAGCTGTCTCTGGCTGAGTAGCATTCCCCACGACTAGGTAACTGTTGTTTGTATGTAAAATCTGTGGAGTTCCCCTTTTAAATAGTTGTCAATTAAGTTTCTGTCCATTGACCAATTGCTTAATCATTTGAGCACCAGATTTATGACGTGAGAATGTTCATGTGTATGTAGCTGTATGGCAAACATCCCTCATCCTGTGATAAGCCTTTAGCTGATATGGTTGAGAGCAAAGCTGACAATCATGCATGTGTCAGATGAATAAATGTAGCAGGAGCAGTGGTACCTGCCAGAACAGATGACCTGCCATGCTGGAGAATGGCCCCGGGGCCAGATGAGACGATCATGCAAAGACAGGACAGGTCTGACAGTGAAGGGGATTTCCATCCACAATTTATCTACGCTCTGTAGGCACATGCTATTTCCTAATAAACGTGTCAATGATATTGATTCACAGAATTCTTAGTAATAGAAGGATTTGGATTTCATAGATTTTTGTTGATTTTTTTATAATCCAGAGGAAGTCTGAAGACTGCACAGAGCCTCATTTAAACTCCAGCTCAACATGGCGACAGAGCAGCGTTGACATGGGGGCCATGTGACCTGCTACCAACACACAACATGCTGTATTTTCTCAAATACGTGTGTCTAACCTTCTCTGGTCTGTTTCTGCTCAGCCTGCCCAGAGCTGTCGCTTTTCTATGAAATAATTACTACAAATTTGGTGCATTCGCATGATTGGGTTCATGGGATTTTCCTGTGTCTAAATGGAGGCTCTGCTCCGTGTCAGGGCAACAGTGATACAGTGTCGAGACAGAGCCGCGGCATTATGGACTGGATGGGCGCAGAGCTAAAAGGCAACATTCATCTCAGACATGATGAGTTTAAAAAACAGCATGGAGGAGCTCTTAAGGGGTCTTGAAAAAGGTTCACTCAAGGTTGTGGGAGATTTATGTACAGCAGAGATGTTGTGCAGGCTAAAAATAGCCAACTCTTTGATGCAAGCTTCAAGCTTTCCTTTGAAATAAGACTTTCACATATCCCCACATATCTGCCATTTTGGCTTTTGAACATAAGACAGAAGAGCCTAGCCAGAGTTAAACCCCTCAAGCTCTAATAAGCTGTTTCAACTAAGATGGTGGCATTATTAGACATGACACCCTAATATTTAGTGTTGATTTCCATCAGTATAATGCTGTGTTTGGGTTGGAGGACTGGCGCATTTATTCACAGGCTCTCCGCAGCATCTTTCCCCCCGCAGCAGGAACAGAGAACATGACACCGGCTCTCAGTGTCCCGCCAAAAACACCCAAAAACTTCTCTAACCCTCCTAGCAGCACAGAAATAGTCATTAGGAGCTCATTTCTTTTCCCGCAGATAATATCGCCACGTGTGTCAGCTCGGATCGAGGAGCACCACTGTGTGATCTGGCAGATGAATCGGCCTCTCGATGTGGTGATTCTGGACTGGACGTTGCACGCCGCCAGAGCCAGGGTGGTCCTGTTTGGTTGTCATTTTTCTGTGGCACTTCCCTGTTGCTTTTTATGGTGCAGACAGACTGATGTTCTGAGATTTATCTTGGCATCCAACCCAGATTTGACACTGAAACAGTGAATTAGGGAGGAAAATGAGAGAGAGGGAATCTAAAAGGATCTAGTGGCTGTAATGTGAGGTGGTAACGAATTGATTTGACTCAGGGTGGCTTTTTGCTTTGGCTAAAGAGGACTTGGAGCAGTAGTAGAGGTTTGGAAGGCTGTGTGTGTCTGTGTATGTGTGTGTGTCTGTGTCTGTGTGTGCGCGTGCGTGCGTGGTGATAGGGTTCTTTATAGAAGTTTGTTAGGGATCTCTAAACTCCATCTTCCATGTGTAGGCCTCGATTTCACTTATCTGCTTTTTGTTTTCAACTATCTGTGTTTGTATGTGTTGGACTGAGTTGAACCTCTGTAATATTTATATCCCATGTAAACTGTTATTGAATTCAAAAGATGCCAACAAAGCGTTAATGTATGTGTTTTAGGTTCAAACTTTGTGACGCGTAAGATCAGCCGTTCTGTGGCAAAGATTCACCTTGGCCAACTGGAGAGCTTCAGCCTGGGCAACCTGGACTCCAAGAGGGACTGGGGCCATGCCAAAGACTACGTGGAGGTAAAACACACACACAACCATAACCACACACAAGCCCAGAGAAATAGACACATACTGTGCGTGCACTGCTTCAGAGTTGAGCAGGGTTCAGATGTGCACATAGCATTAACAGGGCATGTTTTCCCAGATCATTTGAGGCCGCAATATGCGATCTGCATGAAGCCTCCTATGATTCTCTGCCAAAAGAGAAACAGAGATAGAGAAAGAGACGGGGAGCGGGAGGAGAGAGAGAGGGCCACATGCTGTGAGGCCACAGACTGCACTCTGGTTTCCCACAACTCACCCATGTCCCAGATCCCTTCAGGCCCCCATTGCCATTCCCTGAACGCCCGCAGAAGAAAGAGAGATATTAAGGGAACGCCGCGTCCTGGGGACGATGACAGAAATATGGTGTTTGTGTTAAAGTAATGGTGCCAGCAGCAAGCAGAGAAAGGAGTGGGGAGATGAAACGAACAGTGGGGTCGCCACGTCCAGAAGCAGACAGTGCTCAGTGTGTCTGAATGTGTGTTTTCCCCCCATGCATGTGTGTGCGCATAAGGAAGCGCGCATTCCTATGTGTATGTGATAGGTTAAGGTTGGAACACGTGTGTGTGGCTGTCGAGATGAAAGACTCGATGGGTTGCCATGTCTGACAGCAGACCCCTCGCAGTGGGCCGTGTTGTTATTAGGAGGTGATGGCGGTGGAGGAGGTGGGGGGCGGTCTTTGAGATGGGAGTGGGGGTGAGGAGGTTATGATGGGGGAACCTCAGTTTAACTGCAGATCACAGTGTGGGGTCACTGCGTCAGAGCAGGGTGGCAGGAAAGCCGCTGTTAAGGCAGGTTGCGTAGGCGTCGATGGCATCAGTGAAGCAGTCTCCGCCTGATATGGGAAGATTTTAGCTCAGTTATATCTGATTATAACCACACTGAATAATATTTGCCTCCTTTGGTAGGAAGTCTGAGTTGAATTGGGATTGGTAAAATGGAAGCACAAAAAGGTTGTTTTTGAATAAGACACTGTTTGGGATGGTATTTGCTGTCATATAGATGATTCAGATTTGTCAAACAAAGGATGGTATATGTAATAATATAGTGACGTGATCTTGGTATTAAATGTCCAGTTAATTTTTCTTAGACATGAAACCATTTCTCGGTGGAGTGTACTAAATACAAAGCGAATTTTGGAAGCGGCACAATTGCATACAAAGTCAGTGGAAAAACCCAAGTGGGCACACACAGACTCTGATTCCCAGTAAAGGCGTGCCCATGTGGGTTGATAATGTTTCTTCATGACTCTGCTTCATGAACATACAGAAACAGAAAAATCTGGATGAAAATGAAAGAAAACTGGAATTTTAAGTTGCGAGATCAGTCCGAGCTGTCACACAGAGACACTCTGCACACATGGTCAGTGTTTTGCCAGTTAGCTACATATTTTCCGACGCGCGCTCTCTGTCCGCTGGTGGGAGTGTGCTCACCTGTGTGTGTGTGTGTGTGTGTGTGTGTGTGTGCGTGTGCGTGTGTGCGCGTGCACATCGGGGTGGAACTCCACCGTGCGTGCTACAGAGGGCAGAGGAAAATAGTAAATGCGCGACCATGTAGAGACAGAAGTGACATGCTGTCATGTAAATAAGACAAATAACATAAGGCTATTTAGTTTGTTTAATAAAAGGACAAGGTGTAGATATGTTCTATAGGAAAGGTAACTTTAAATGACTTTTGTTGTGATCAGGCGCTATAGAAAGTAAGATTAAATAAAATTAATTTGACCTTCAAGGGGGGGTGGTTGGTGCCGTTGGAGGGACGGGCCTCCCCCCTAATATAATGGTAGGGGAAGCAATGCTGTATGTCTCACTTGTACTGGGGTTGCTGTCTTCTTCATCCCATCAGCCACTGAGGCTCATAACTGTTGAATAGTAATGTTGCTATTTAGAGACATATTGAGGTTGTCATAAAAAACAGCAAATTAAAAATGTAAATTTTCAGTGAGGAAAAAGCAACTTCCAGAACCTGCTGCTCTGCTCACTGAGCTTCTATGTAAAACAAGACTCATTCTTGTGCAAATAAAATTCTGGTTGTTTAGTCACATTCTGCAGGTCTCCTCATCCTGTTATGTTAGTCTGACCAGCCAGTTTTGTACTTATGTGTTGTACGTGCAACCCTGTGCTGCTGGATTTGTGTGTGTGCACTCGCCTGTCCAGGGCACCCTGGCTTGAGACGCCCCAGGTTTCCTGTGGGAATGGCTGACATTCCAGCTCTGGTGAATCAGGCACCTCCTCGCTGTGCGTCTCCAGTTTCGGAAAGGCAGATTTCGGGAAGCCAAACAGAAGCCCGAGGTGCTGAGGGGAACTGATGTGGAGGAGGAGGAGGAGGAAGGGGGAGAAGATGAAGGCAGGAGGGAAACAGATGCGTGTTTGTTGAACATTTGTACATTATGCATAAATGGACCATCCCTCCTGCTGAAAATTCATCCCGCCCTGCAGACCATCAAAGGCTGCAACTGTCACTGCGACCCCCTCTCTCCGTCTCACTTTGAAATATCCGTCCAGCCAGCGTCAGCACTGTGTTACCATGGCAAAGCCAAACAACTGGCAATTTGTAAACAGAACCATGTGTGTCTGCTTTAGGCTGACAACTGCTTTTCCTCCCTCTCTCTCGCTCCCTCTCCTCACCCCACCCAGGACAGGGAAATTGCTTGTAATTGGCTGTGGATGGATTGCGGGTGGCAGGAGGGGCGTGCTGTGTGTCTGCTCTAACGACGTCTGAAGGCGTGCGGCTGGCTGGGCATCGTCTCAGTAGGGTATCGGGTGTCTGTCCCAGGCAGGCAGACAGACCTGGAGCTGCTCGGCTACTCTCAATAGAGCCCTTTTATTATTATTATGTTATTATGGAATAGATGCTGAACGCTTTCGTATAAAAACGGCAAATAAAATAAATAAATCCTCCTGATCTCATTTTCCTCAAAGGGGTTAAGCCTTTCCAGTTTGGTGATGGTGTTTGAAACATTTGGCTGGTCTTTTGTTGAGTGTGGTTTTCCAGGATTTGGCGATGCAGAATGAATTTCTGAATCTGAGCATTCCAAGGAGAAAAGGAAACCCACAGCAATCACTCACTAAAAACTCAATCAGAGCCGATAAAGATGTAGGAGTATTCCATCTTTATCAAGGGCTGCCCTCCTCCCTACTCCTACTTCTCTTCTCAGCCTGTGCCCCAGGCTCAGTTGGCCCGCAGTGGGTACAGCTGTTTGGAGCCCCCCGCCCACACCACCTCCCCTCCTGGCTGCAGAGCCATTTCCTGTGCAGAAAAGAGGGCTGGCTGGGAGGGAGCAGGAGCAGAAGTCGGCGTTGTGGTTTTGGCCTTCTCTCTCCCCTCGGGCTCCATTCTGCCTCACTTTCTCTCTGTCTGTTTGTCTGTTTCCTCTCCCGCCTCGTGTTTTTCATTCTTCATGTTCCTCCCGCCTCTTAACCTTTTTACTTTTTGATGTTTTGTACTCCTGTAAAGCTGCGTCACTAAACCGGTGCTCCACCAAACTGTCGCTCCCTCTTGTCCGGCTATCATCTGGTGAGCAGTTACCACCCAGTTACCAGATATTTCCCTCTGACATCTAATAACCGGCTCTTATTTTTCCCCTGACTGGAGCTGGCGTTGCTGTTCTTGCTGCTGCAGCGGACCAGAAACCGTTGCCAGATGAGATGTAGCTGACCCGCTGACACACAGTCCTGACAACCCCTCCTCCCTGCTCTTGTCTTGTTCGCATATTTATTTTCAAAACATAATTACCTGTGAAATTCTGGGCTTTGGAAGGTGTTTCCTTGCAATCTTCAGGTGTGTGTGTGTGTGTGGTTGCCCCTGTGTGGTGGTAGCTGTCTGATTCCTGGCATTGTGTGGAGGCAGCGAGGTGACAGGACAGCCCTGATGGTGTAATTTTTCACCTCCTTTATTTTTCTTATCCTTTTTTTCTGCCGCAGCTGCCTCTCCGTGCAGTAATGGTTACAGATGAGGCTAATTAGCCAATCACAGCGCAGATCAGGGCCAATCACAGATGATTGATGAGAGCGCTGGGCCATTCATCACATGTTTTTGGCCTGGAAAGTGACAGCGGGGGCAGGCTTTGGGATTTGGTACAGTAAACTAGACATGTACGTCTCCATTTTGAGCTTTTTGCTGAGGCATTTATCCAGTGTGACTCAGCATGCAAGAGGGCCTCATTATCCTCTGAAAGACATTTTGACAGAATGTTAAACTTGATGGACACTGGATATATGGCAGTGTTGGAGATCTGACGTACGACGAGTCGGGGGAGGGGTGAAAGAACTTGATTTCCTTGATGTTTTTTTACATAGCTTTTGAGGTTCATCCGAACTTGTTAAATTCAGGTAACTAACTAATGCTGGCCTTACACCAAACAACTTTGCAAGAGATTTTACTGTCACAGAAAAATTTCAGTGTCAGAAAAGCATTAGAATTTTACCTCAGTTGATGTGTGCTCCTGTGATCTTGATCGTTAGGTGTAAGGTGGTCATAAAAATCATTTCAAGCTGTCTTTCAACAGTCTTTTCCTTGTCTTGAAGTTCTGACAGAATCAAAGATGTTTAATATTGTCATAAATTTTTAGTCTTTGCTCATATAAATACTGAAGTTAGATAACGTGAATATTGTCAACTGCCAATAGCTGCGCCCTTTTCAGCACCAAACAGGAGCAAGCAAACTGGGTAGGCAGTTATCTTGGAGGGAACTCCAGGGCGGCACAAGAATGTGAACAAGTTTTTGTTCTCTTTGACAGTGGAAACAAAAGAGAAACTAATGAAGTTGTGGAGTGAACAAGAGTCGGTGTTTGATTCTCCATGTATCTGATCCACCAAACAGTGCTTACTTTAAAGGGAAATTTCGGTTTCTTTCAACCCGTCTCCTATCGTCCTAAATTTGGTTCAAGTGACTAGTGACATACAGATAATAGTTAGCATGTTAGCTGTTAGACCTGTTAAAACGTAAGTGAACGGGCATCCCTTCAAGTGCAAAGT